TGTGGCATAAGGGGATTGACACTAGGGGCTTTGCCTTCCATTACCAGCTCTGTGCTGTGAAAGCTGGATACCTGTTCATTCATATACTCTACTTGTGTTTATTAAGGTCCTACTATGTACTAGGTTGGTGAGGATAGGATCTGTGACATGCCAATGAGTCTCTTTCAGGTCAGCCAAAACCAGGGGTCACTGACTATGTTGTCCCCAACTCATCCTCCTGGAGACTGCCCCACCTTCCTCTGTCCAGCCCTGACCCCAGGGGGAGGGGGTCTGGACCAAGCCTGTGGATGGAAAATGTGATTAATAATCAAAAAAACATCCAAGAGGAAGAGACCAGGAAAACAACTTGGAGAAGGCTCCTCGCCCAGGGGAGGGGGGCCATGTCCTGGGCCTCGGGACAGCTCCAGCCGCCCTTCCTGCCGCCCTTTCTGGGAAGCTGCCACAGGAGTGGGTGATTTTAGCCAAAAGTTAAAAGAAAAAGCCACCCTAATTATTTATGAAAAAACACACACCCCCTAATGTAAATTATGCTTCCCCTGGGGGCTGCCCCCTACTCTGTTACTTCCATCCTAGTAGTTCCCCTGCTTGGTCAGGTTGGGGGACCCTGGAGACACTGGGCTGGGGGCAGAGGAGGAATTTCAACATGAAATGTTTTGTTCATTAACAGAGAACATGGGGGAAATTCCCTTTTTGCCTGAGCCTCAGGAGCAGAGGCAGATACCAAAAAACTATTATTTTAAAAAAAAATAGAGTCTGGGCTGCAGAGTGAGATGGGAGTTTATGTTGGGGGCAGGCACAGACGTTCTATCCCCTTCTCTTAGACTCCTGACTTTCAGGGGTTTCCTGAACCTTAATCCTTCCTTTCAGAGATTTCATCCCCAGTGTCTCAGGCTGCCCTCAAACTTCCTTCTTTGCAAAACAGGAGGAACTGGGGTTAGACTAGAGTTAGAACTTCCAACTAAGTAGGAAGGAAGGATGTCAAAGAGAAAAAGGGGAGGCCTTGGATTTTTTTTAAAAAATTTGAATTCTGAGAGAATATGTTGGGATCAGTTGACAGCAGATCTGAGGGGGGCATGGAGCAAGAGTGAAATCACCTCTATCAGGGTGGCTTTAGAGGGCCCAGGTGAGGAGGGAAGGGGAGTCAGCTCCAGAGAATTAGGGGCAATTCCAGGTTGAATACTTATATTCTCCCTTTATGGCTTCAGCCCTTGCCTATTCTATACCTTTAGGAAATCTGTTTTCTGGTGCCAGAGGTTGGAAGATCAGGGCACACTTAGGTGAAGGTTCAAAAGACAGAATTCCAAAAGGATGGGGGTTTCCTAAGTGGGCCCTAGGTGCTGTCCCAGGATGGTGCTGGGAGCTGTCTGGATGGGAAGTGAGTCGTCCCAGGGGGGCTGGGCTGGACCCTGAGTGTGTGTGTGTGGGGGGTGCTCTGCCCCCCCTTCCTTGCTCGGCCTAGGGCTGTGTCAGGATCGGGTTTCTCGGCGCCTGGAGCCTCCGCGAGGCCGAGCTGTTCCCGGGCCTCGGCCAAGCCGCCCCGGGCGCTGGCACTGCGTGAGGAAGCAGGGGGGCCAGGGGTGAGGAGGAGCGAGGGGGGGGGGGGCGGGATGTGAGGGCGTTTACGTAACCGCCTCCTGGAGCCCTCCCGGATCGCCAAACCCCAGCATGGGACTTTGTGTGATTGAGAGAGTGTGTGACTCCACGTGTGTGCCTGTGTGACATGCGGTGTAACTGAGTACATGGCTATGTGATTGTGCCTATGTGTGGGTCTCGTGCATAAGCGAGTGAATCAGGGATTTTCTCCCTTCTGGGATCTCTAGCTTCCAGTCCCAAGCAGGGGACCCTGGACCCTGTGCCACATCGGAGGTTAAATATAGGGGTTTGACTCTTTGAGACTGGGTGTGTGACTTTACATGACGATGTATTTGACATTTGTAGGAAAGACACAGCCTGTGTGTGAGTATTTGTGACTGGGTAGCCAGGTATGTGCCCCATGGCTTAACTTTCTGGTGGTATCACAGGTTAGTAATAAACACCGCTTCGGAAGGAGCACTGGAAAAGTTAGACCACGGGAGGTTAGGCATGAGGGGCTCTCCTTCCTTTAGGACACACATCAGTGGGAATGGGGAAGGGTACTTGCTACCCAAAGGCTTGGGATGGCACAGTTGACTCCTGAGGGTGGGGAATGAGAGGTGGTCCAAACTTAGGTCACTTGCCAGGATAGAAGAGGATGGAGCCAAAAGCCCTGCCACAGAGCCCTCTTTAATGCTGGGTATAAAACTCCAGGTACTCTACGTTTAGGGATATAAAACCTGAGATCCCCATCACTTGCAAGGCACTAGGGCTCCGAACTGGGGGCGTTATTTCCTGCTGCCCTTATGGGAGAGGCATGATGAAGATGGGATGGGACGGGGAAGGGTTAACTGGGATTTGGCTTAAGGAAACGTGAGAAAATGAGCTGCGGCAAAGCTTGGGAGGCCGGGGATGGAGGTGCCTAGTAAAGCTGCAGAGGAGACAGGACTAGATTCTGTAAGGGCTTTTAAGCTTCGTCTAAGAAGCCTGACTTTGCCCCCACGACAGTGAGGTCCAGGAGGGCTCAACACGGAGGTTTAGGAAGCTCAGAAGCTCGTGTGGAGGCGGCAGGAGCGGAAACCCACGAGTAATCTGTTGCCCAGCTCAGGTGGGAGGAGAATCAGTTCTGGGCCAGGTGCTGGAAGCGAGAGGGAGATGAGGCCGTACTCTGGTTGTTCGTAGGTGGGCGCTGCCTCTGTGCAGTAGCCGCAGCCAGAGGGGGAACGCGTCCTGCACTGCTCGCCAGGTGTCGCTGCGGCTCCGGGAAAGTGCGCGTGGTCGCAGCCGCTGGGTGCTGCGCCCGGAGGAACTGCGGCTGGACAGACGCCGGGATCCGGTCCTACCTGAGCCTCTCTAGTCCTCGTTAATTCTGTTATACATACATGTCCGGCTCACGGTTCCCGGTTGCCCAGCGCGGGACCTGCCCCAGCGCCCGCGTATTTAAGCACTCAGCCTCCGGGTCCCCAAGCAGACACGTTGGTCGGAGCGGAACTCACCACTGCGCTCAACCTGGCAGAAAGGCTGAGCCCGGGACGCTAGAGGATTCCGAGGTCAAGTCAGTCCACCAGCGACCCACCGATCACGACCCCTGCTCTCCGACCAGGAGAGGGGCGGCCTCCTGAGTACCCAATCACAACCAGGCCCCGTTTCTGTGCAGGAAAAGGGGCAATTTCAGACCCCCAAAGATTCTGCCGCCCCCACCCCCATTCCCTCCTGGTACTCACCATCTCGTTCTCGTCTGGGGCCCAGGGACCTGGAGGTTGGGGCGCCAGAGAGGCTGGATAGGGGACACCTACTGTGGGTGGGGGTGGGCTGGTCTCAGCTGGGTGCCACTATTAAGGTTCTGTGTGTCCTTAAACCCCAGCCGGCCCTCTCTGAGCCTCAGCCCCGCTGACCCCTGCCGGTTGCACTGAGGGGATTCTGCTGCCACTGAAGTGAAAGTGAAAAGCCCAGTGGCGGGAAGAAGGTTTTTCCTCTGCAACGGGCGTCCCTGAGGCATTTGTTGGGAAAGGGCCCGGGCGCTCTGGGCAGCCTACTGGGGAAGGTGTGAGGAAATAGTGAGATATTTCCTTCCCCTCTCCCGCCCGCAGCCCTGGAGCAGCTCCCTGGAGGTGCAAGGCGCAGGGATTATGGGTCAAAGGTCAGGTGAAAAATCCGTGGGGTGGAGATGGGAGTGGGCCACTCGTACTCCGCCTCTGGCATTCACCCTTTCTGTTTCGTTCTCGCGTGGCCTCAGAAGTTGGTCGGCTTGTCTAACCTAACCCCTTCCCCCATTGTTGTAGCTAGACCGGAGGCCCGGGGCTAGTGAAGGGAGCACACCGACCCCTATGAGGCCCAGGCTGCATAAGGAAAACTCCAGGGGTAAACCTCCAGCATCGAATTTGCGCGTGCCGTCCAGGCATAGAGGGCGCACCCTCCCTACCCCCTTAATCCCAGTGGAGGTTTCTTCCCAGGCCAGGTGTCCGGAGGGTGAGGAAGGAGAAGGTAGTTGTGCTGGTGTCACCGGAGATTTGGTGGGAGGCGAGGATCTGGGCTCCCAGCCTGGTCCATTACATATTATCCGAGCGTAAAGCCCCCTTCCCGCCTCGAGGGGAGTGTGTGTATTGCTGGGGGCGGTAGGAATAGGGGAGGGGCGGAGACGGCTGGCGTCCTCTGCCCAAAGTGGGGCCTGGGCGCTCTGGCTCGAGCTCCTCTTACGGAGATGCCGGCGGGAGGGCCCCGAGAGTTGGCCCGGGGTGTGCTAGGGTGTTGGTACGAGGCAGTCAGGGCCTGAACGTGCGGGAGTGTGCTCAGCAGAGACCTGGCCAAGGCTGGGTGAAGGAGTGAGTGTGAATGAGCGACCCCGGGGGATGGGTGCGCGCCCAGCGGCTCTAGGGGATTCGGCGGAGTGGGTGTGGGTATGTGTGCGCGCGCGTCTTTGAGACCCGCGGTCAGGGCTGCGCGTGAAGCGCGGGGGTCACTGCTGTCTGGAGGGCGTTTCCGAGAAAGGGCGAATGTGAGGCGGCCACGCGTGCCAGTGCGGGCAAGTGTGTCAGAGGGGTGGGGGTGGCGCGTGCCAGCTCGAGGCGACCCGGAGAGGGGCTCACAGGCCTGCGCAGGGTGAGTGTGCCCGCGCAAGCGGGCTGCGCGTGCCGGGCACGGGAGCGGGCCAAGGCGGGGGCGCGCGGGGGCCGTGGCCAGGAGGGGGGTCGTGGCGCGCGGCCGCGGAGGCGCGGGGAGACAAGGCGGGAGGGGGAGGGGACCGAGGGCGCGCGCGGCCGAGCGGGCGCCCGCGGTCACATGGCGAGGGAAGGAGGGAGGGAGCGCGCGAGGGAGGGAGGAGGATGGGGGGGTTAAAGCCGCCGAGCGCCGAGGAGCCGGTGCAGAGCGGGCGGCGGCGGCGGCGGTGGCGGCGGCGGCGGCGGCGGCAGCGGCGGCGGCGGCTCCTCCAGCCGGCGCGGCGCAGGGCTCGGCGGCAGGATCCGGCAGCAGTGTTAGCTCCGCGCTCCCTGCCGGGGGCGATAGAAGGACGAGGCGCGGAGCCCCGACTGTCCAGGGCGCGGTGAGTACCCGGTGGCGGGTCGAGCGTGGCCGAACCCTCAAACCCTCGGGCTGACCGACAGACCCGTGGCCCTCGTGCGTGCGGGAAGAGGGAGGGACCCGCGTGGGCCCGCAAACGGGTGTGGGAGACAGGAAAGTTCACAGGAAACTTTGCCCGCAAACTCGGGGGCCGGGGCGCAGGAGAGGAGGCCCCCCCACGTCCGGGCAAGGCGGAGGGGGGGGTTGGGCGTGGTGGTAGTGGGGGCGGACAATCATCTTGGGGGAGGTGGCCGGGGCGGATTGTCCTAGCGTCCCAGTTCTCCCTCACCCCTCAGCAGTGCGCCCGGGTCTGGGAAAATTCCTGAGCTGGGGGTCGCACTGACCCCCCGCGCGCCCGGAGGCGGCTTCCTTCTCTGCCAGAAATCTGGACTTCAAAGCGCCCAGGGGTGTGAACTGACACGTCTGCCAGTGTCTGTGTGTCCGTGTGAATCCCCGTGGTGTGTATATGTGTGTGTCGGCATGAGCCTCTCCGTGGTTTCCCCGTGAGTATGCTTGGATGTCTCTCCACGTAGTGGGTCTCCTCCAGTGTCCTTTTGTAAGTAAGTCCTCCAGTGTTGCGTGTCCGTGTGAGTCCGCTTGCAATGTATTCCCATCTCTTTGTGAGTCTGCCGGTGTGTGTCTCCTCCAGTGCGGCTCTGTGGGAGCCGGCCTGAGTGTCCCTGTGTTGTTCGGAGTAGTGTTATCTCTCGTGCGTGGGGGCTGGGCCGCAGGGAGGTCACCAGACGGACAGCTCTCCTCCTCTCAGGAGCCTCTCCTCCTGCGTCTAGCTCTCGCGCTGCTCGCTCCCTTGGCCCCCTCCCCCCTCCAGTAGCTTCAGGCGGGCAGGACTATTTCACGCCTTGTTGAAAATTAAGGATTTTCTTTCTCTTTCCGACTAGTCTCTCTTTGAGAAGCGTCTGTGTGTGTCTGTGTGGCTGGCAGCTTGTCTGAAACACTGAATGTTTGTCTGCATGTCTCTTTAGGAGTGTGTCTGTAACATTAGTTGTTTTGCCTGTAATACTTGCTATAATTGTGTCTGTCACTGGGGGTGTTCACGTGGCTGTAATCAGTGAGGTGGTGGGAGTCTGAAATGCTGGGTGTGTTTGTGCACCTATAATTCTTGTCCATCCGGGGGCTCTGAAAAACTGAATGTATTTTTGTGTCTAATTCTGGGTGTGATGGTAGTACCATTGCATGTGTGAGGATGGGGCTTCAACAGTTAGATAGTCCTGTGGCTGTAGGGCTAGCCTGGGCTAGGGGGTGGGAGTGGAAGGGCCCCTGTGTCTCAATAAACTGTGCCTCCCTGTCTCCACGGTCAAAACCCACACAAATCTTCTGGATTGGTTCTTGGGGCTCCTGGTCAGGATTGGTGACAGGGAACTAAGGTTCGCATTCCATCAGGGCTAATACTCCATCTGGGACCCTAGCCTTATCCAAAGACTAGGAATTTAAAGTTCACATTCAAGTCTTCTTGGGGTTCTGGAATTCATACTCAGATTCACACTGGGATACTTAAATGTACATGACTCACACTCAGCATTACACCAGAACAATGGGACTCACACTCAGATTCACACTTACATTCTGGGGTTTATACTTAAACCCAGGAGTTTACAATAAGACTCACACTTGGACTCTAGGCTCACACTTAGATTCACATTTCTCTCCTGACTTGGCTTACAGATTTGCACAGACCTAGAGTTCATGCTCAGAATGTCACCGGGAGCCTAGGGCCTACAGTTGGACTCATGCTGAGACCCTGGAACTTACTCCATTCACACATCCTGGGGCTCATACCCAGAGTCACATTAAGACTAGGGCCTCAGGTTATTTACAATAGCTAAGATCTGGAAACAACCCAAGTGCCCATCAATAAACGAATGGATAAAAAAGCTGTGGTACATTTACACAATGGAATACTATGCAGTTGTAAAAAAGAAAGATCTCTTACCCTTTGCGACAGCATGGATAGACCTGGAGATTATTACATTAAGTGATATAAGCCAGTCAGAGAAAGAAATATCACATGCTTTCACTTACATGTGGAATCTAATGAAGAAAATAAACTAACCAACAAAATAGTTCCAGAGTCAGGGATACATGGAACAGCCTGAGATCTCAGAGGGGAGGGGCATGAGGGGAGATGGGAAAAGATTAATCAAATAATTTATATGCATATATGCATAGCTCATGGACACAGACAATTGTGTGGTGAAGGCTGGGGTGGGTGGTGGCTGAGTAGAAAGGGGCAAAGTGGTGGAAACGGGGACATCTGTAATACTGTCAACAATAAAAAATATTACTACAAAAAAAAAGACTAGGGACTCAGACTCACATGGGGAACCTGGGGCTCATATTTGAACTCAAGGCCTCACACAGGACACAGGTTCATAGACTCACGCTTCTATCTTGGAACTCACATTCAGTCTCAGACTATAACTCTAGTGACCCACATGCAAGATTCACACTTCCGTCCTGGGATCACTTAAGGACCCAGTGTTAACACTCAGACTTACAAATGAACCCCACTACTCACATTCAAAAGGCCCTTCAGACTAGGGACTCACACTCACACTTACTCTAGGACTCTAATGCTTATTTATACTGACTTGAATGGGAATCCTGGAACCTACACTATAGTCCTGGGGCTTAGTGTTAGATGCACCCTGGGACCTGGGTTCGCACACAAACCTGTACTAACATCTTGAAGTTCAAACTCAGACGGACATTTCTGGTAATTACATTAAACTTACCCTTCCATCCTGGGGCTTATACTCAGACTTGAATTAGGGCCCTAGTGCTCACATTCAGATTCCTTGCTTCCATCTTGAGGCTTTCATATTCACATGGGGGCCTTGGGGTTCACACTTAGAATCACACCCAGTTACACTTTTATCCTGGGGCTCAAATATTCAAATGCACACTAGGATTGTGGTGTTCACACTCCCAGTGGAATTTAGAATTCATATTCAAATACACCCGTGCTTTCTTTTGGTTTATGGTGTATATCAGGCAGTTGGGGTGAGGAATATCGACTGCTCAAGATTTGTAAGGATACATGCATGGTCACATCCCTCATTTGGGAAGTGGGCTGTTGGAGAGGGTGGTGGTAAAAATATTGGCAGCAGAGGGAAGGCACCAGGTGTTAGACCAGTGGGGTCAGACCAGACCTGGATTCAGCAACCTTGGTACTTGAGTTCTGGCTAAGAAAGAATTCAAAGCCAAGACTCAAACTGTAAGAAAAAATTTATTTAGAAAATCACAGGGGTAGAAGAAGCAGTTATTTGAAGAAATGGTTTTAGGAAACAGATTATAGAGGCAAAGGAAGGGCCCTTGGAGCTTAGAAGTGAGGAAGTAAAGGTGATGCATCTGGGAGGATGGGAAGAGAGAAGAGAAAGGGAAAGGTGCGGGGTGGGCATGCTCCTGGAGGGAGAGTGTGCTGGGTCCTCTGTCCTACAAGCTTTTAAGGGTGGAAATCTTAGGGAAGGTCCCAGTCTATTGAGGATCTCAATAGACTATTCCTTTCAGGGTTGGGATCTCCACTGATTGGTTGGTGCCAGGCAGGGGATCCTGAGGTCAACCTTGTCTGGTTTTGGTGCTTTTCTGAGCCTGGAGCGGAAATACAACTGAGACCTAGATGTTATCAGTAGTCTGAACCAAATGACCAGAAATATGCCAGGGGAGGAAAAGTCACCCTAGGGATGATGTCCTATCCTACAATTGTCTGTTGTTAAGCACCTGGGGCTTTCCACCCTGGTGACCTTCTGTACCTGGCCCATCATCCTTGCTCTGCTCATGTCTATCTAACTGCCTACCACAAAAACATTGACCAGTTAAACCTTTCTGCCTTTACTTTGCCAAGGATACTAGGCTCTTGGCAGGAAGGTCTGAGTAGATTTTTGGTAAAGGGGTGATATGTACCCTTAGAGTCTCCCATGTGCCTTGTTCATGCACAGTCCCCTTAAATAGTTTTGGCCTATCCCTTCTGTGGTAGAGAGAGTCAGGTGTGGGGAAATAAGACTCATGCCCTCCCAAGACATTTCCCCCATCTCAGTCACCCTTACCACACATGGGAAGGGTATGAAGATTATCTGGTGAGGGGTAGACCTCTGGCTCCTTTGATCCTTTAAGGGTGTTGAATCTCTGATTCTAAGGAAGGTGGTAGCCCCTGAAAAGGTGGCTGGAGGAAGCGACTGGATTTGAACCCATCCTTTTCTCTTTTTATGCCCTGGCTAAAGAGGAGTAGGGGCCAAGTTATGTTATTACTTGCAGTGTCTCTTGGAATGCCTGTTGAGCCTTTATCCTGTCTCCAAGGAATGCCCAGGTTCTCCACTCTTCTCAGAACAGCTCTGGGGGATGGGGGATGGGGGATGGGGATTGTTTTGGGCTAGGTCACAGCCACCTCTAGCATTCCACCTACCTTGGAGACACTCTGAGCTTTACATGCCTTTCCACTATAGGGCCAGCGGGTGGGGTACCTGAGGTGCACCACCATCACCCCAAGGAAGCCCGGGACGTCAGGACCTGGTCCTCAGGCTCAGATAACTGGGCCATAACTGTTTCCTGTCCCTGAAGGGGACACATGCTTTCCAGCCCTCCTAGGAGGGTGGGGCCCTTGGAGGAAAGGCACCCTGCTCTCTGCCCCCCCATGGTGAGTGAGTTGAAGTGTAAATGAATTGGAAACATATGGGGTAGATTTTCTTTGAAATGCAGATGAGTTGGGGGGGACCATGTGTGCCTGGTTTGTTGAGGGGGGTGTCCCAGAGAACAAGGAGGCTGAGAAGAGAGAGCTGACCCCCCTCCTTCAGGCCAACCATGGGACATCAGCTGTGTAAATCCTTGTGGTCCTGAATGACCCACACCCACTAGGGCTCCTGGCTTCCTGTGGGGAGGAGTTGGGAAGACAAGTGGTCCCTGTGGGCCAAGAGCACTGAGGTCATCACCCCACCCATTTGCCTCTGCAGAAGGCAAAGAGCCCCCAAAGAACAGAGCCATTCTGGGTTGGGGGTCATCAGAGGTGGGAGCTCTGGGGAGGGGCAGAGGTGGAAGGAGGAGCTGGGGCAGATGTGGGGACAGAGTTAGACTCTGCCTCTGTGGGGAACCAACTCCCAGAAGCTGGGGCTAGAACTATAGTGGAAGGAACTGAAGTTAGACTATGGTGGTGACTTCTGGTCAGCGCAAGAGCTGGTCCTGGAGTTTAGAAATGGACTGAAGAGTTCTCAGTCCTGTAGGAGGATTGGTTTTCCAGACCCGAGCAGTCAGTATACCCTACCATACACTATACTTTCCCCTTACAATACTCAGCAAGGTTGCATAGTAATTGCCTGTAGGCTCTGTGGGACCCAGGGACTGGGTCTGCTTTGCTCCCCTCATGTACCCTGCCCCTGGCACAGACCTGGTACACAGTAGGAGGGCTGTGTTGATTAAACAATACATCTTTTTCTCTCCCATCAGATTGAGTGCATCTCATGGTGAGAACCGTAACCCCTAATACCTAGGAGGGATTAGGTGATTAATAATTATTGAGAAATGAATCATTGAGTGGGACAGACCACAGGGAGATGGGACTTCCCTGGGGTTTCTGGCTTGAGACCCAACGGCCTCTGTTGTATACCCCTGTTTCACTGGAAAGACCCCTGAGTAATTTGTAGGCTACACTAAAGGAAGGACTTCCTTGTACTTGGGGAAGGAGAGCAGAGGATAGGCAGCTTCTTCCTTGAAAAGGTCTGGACTAGGGAAGACTGGGGCAGGGCAATAACCCTGATTTCATGGCAGAGGTCAGAGGTCACCTCTGTTCTCTCTCCAGCTTCAGGATTTTTCAGAAAGTGGGAAAGTCTTTCCCCATGTTGTTGTGAGCATGTCCCTCTCTCTAGTTCTGAGTTTCTTAGACTCTAGCTGAGGCAATGGACCCCATCTCTGAGCCTCTGAGGCTGGGCTTTGAGGTTGTTAAGCTGGTGTGGGCACTACGGACTCTCTGTATTGATTATTAACGGCTGTCTGAGAACACAGGGTTCGGATCTTAAAAATACACTGTCCAGCCAGAGCCTAGGAGTTGCCAATGTTGGCTGGTGTAGCAGCGGCTGCATCTTGATCAGATAGACACAGAGCCAGGAGAGACTGGGAGAGTATGGGGAAACTGAGGCAGCATGGCAGGAGATGCACCAGAGACAGGACCTTTGTTTTACATGGAACAAAGATTTATAAAACTAATGTTGCCAGTTAGTCAGATTATGGCAATGTTTAGGGTAATCTGTTATCCTGCACTGCAGAGAATTTCCTTCTGAGATGATCAGGAGATACATCTGATATCAGACATAAAAATCAAGCCATTAGTAATAAACATTTCAAGTCCAGCTTCAGGATGTTCCAAAATAAATGTGCGGCAAAGAAAAAAATCTTCCTCAACTAGACTTTTCTTTCTTTTTTTAAAAAATAATTTTTTTAATGAAATGCAAATTTTAAAAAATGTTTTTTTCTTTATTGATTTTTAGAAAGAGAGGAAGGGAGAGGGAGAGAGAGATAGAAACATTGATGAGAGAGAACATCATTTGGCTGCCTCCTGCATGCCCCCCACTGGGGATTTGGCCTACAACCTGGGCATGTGCCTTGACCAGGAATTGAACCAGTGACCTCTTAGTGCATGGGTCAACGCTCAACCAGTGAGCAACACTGGCTGGGCATTTATTTATTTATTTATATCCTCACCCGAGGACATTTTTGCATTTATCTTCAGATAGAGCTGGAGGGAGAGAGGGGGGAAAGAGAGAGAGAGAAACATCAATGTGAGAGAGACACATCAGGTGGTTGCCACGCACATAACCCCAACCAGGGCCGGGGACAAACTGCAACTGAGGTACATGCCCTTAGCGGGAACCAAATCTGGGTCTCTCTGGTCCGCGGGCCAACACTAACCGCTGAGCCAAACTGGCCAGGGCCAGGCCGGGCTTTTAAAAAGATTTTTAAAATTGATTTTTAACAAAAATTAATAAAAAAAATTGATTTTTAGAGAGAAAGGGAGAGGAAGAGAGAAAGAAACATCAGTGTGAGGGAGAAACATGGATCACCTGCCTCCTGCACAACAAGGGAATCAAACCAGCAACCTTTCAGTGCATAGGACGATGCCCAACCAACTAAGCCACACTGGCCAGGGCCCAACTAGACGTTTCTGAGCCATTGTCCCCATTCCTTCTCTTAGAAGTCTCCCTTACAGCCCAAGTTCCAATGAGATTCTTGCACATCCCCTTTTTTAGGCACCCCCACCTGACCTCTGACTCCCAGGCCTCTGTGTAGCCCCTCTCTGAAGGAGAAGGGAGCTGTACAGTGGTCCCACAAAGGTAAAAAGAACCTAGCCTCTGGAGGCAGATGCCATGTGACCTTGGTCCTTCAGCTGACCTTTCTGGGCCCCTTTGTGAAATCATGGGATGGGGGGCTGGGCCCTGGCCCAGGCCTGGAGAAAGGGCTGTTTTGGCACCCATCCAGGCCCCTGACGTCAATGACTCTCCAAATAATGGAATCAATATTGGGGGGGGGGGCAAGCCTGAACCAGGCCCCAGCGATTAGAAACAGATCAGCACAAACTCGCAGCTGATTCTGATAGAACTGCTTTGGAGAGCTAGGGTGGGAGGCCTGGAATGAGGTGGACCTGGGTGGGGAAAGTGGGGGGCTCAGGAGTGGGAGGCAGAGCCCTCAAATGTCCAGAGTGTGATGGTACACAAATGGGCAGACTCTGGGGCTGCCTGGGTTGGAATGATAGTGTGGGGTCCCCTGTCCTGGTCCCTTCCTTCTTTGAGCCTGGGGAGTTCCAAGGCTAGGGGAAGTTTGTGAATGGAGACTTCTTTCAGCCAGTGAGTGATAAAGAGTAGGCAAGGGAAGTTCAGAGTTCATCTCTCTGCATCCCAGACTGGGGCCCCTAGACTGGATTGTATTAAAGGGTCACAAGTTATGTAGAGGCCAGAGAGAGAGAGTTCTGAGTGAGGCCTAAGGGAGATGACCTTTTGCTTGGAGGCAGAAGGCATTAATCTAAGATTGAGAGATGGGTATTCCCCCTCAGATTGGGAGTCTTGCCTCCTCTATCAGCTCATGCCGTCTTGGCCTCCTAGAAGGCAGCAGGTGAGGATGGAGGGGGCCATGGGGTCCATAGGGGGCTGGCCTGGCGGCAGCTGACAAAAAACAGGAAGAAGGGCTGGGGGAGCAGCTGTAATTATGGGGCATTTATTATTAATCAGATGAAATTGCTGGAAGCAGCTGGTGTAATCTGTGTAGTGATACAGACTCTGCATGCCCCCCCACCCCACCCCAACACACAACCTGAGCCTTGTTTGCTTTCAGTTTTTTTCTTGTGAAGGTCGGATGGCTCTATATGTGTCTCTGTGTCTGTTGGTGTGCATCTGTGTGTTTTTTCATGTTCTCCTATACCCTGCTTTCTCTCTGTTGTCTTTTTTCCAATGGTCTCTGTCATTCTTTGCCCTGAATGTGTGTCTCTGTGTCTCTGTCTCCCTCTTTTCCTCCCTCTCTTTGGGCCTATCTCTTGGTATGTCTGTATCTGTTACCACTAGCCAGCCTGTCTCTAACACCTTGTTTTAGTTTCTGGCCATCTCTCCCTAGTTGGTGGTTTCTCTGCATATCTGGGCAGAGTTGGATGACATGGAGCCCCTTTCTCATGAGTATGTGTTTAGGCACCTGATCATGCCTTTGGGACAAGTTTTTGGGGAAGAGGAGCATTCGGACCCTGAGGATCTCCTGGGGTCTTATAGAAAGTGAGGGCTCTGCTAAGTGAGCCTATAGAGGCAGCCACTCGATGTGTCCCTTTCACGTCGATGTTTCTCTCTCTCTCTCTCTCTCTCTCTCCCCCTGCCACTCTATCTGAGCAAAAAAAAAAAAAAAAAAGATAGTCCTGAGTATAACGCCAGTTCCCTTACCAACTATGAGTGTGTGATTTGAGCAAGGTGCTTTTGTTCTCTGAGCCTCAGCTACCTAATCTGTGAAATGTATACAGGATTACCTGCAAAGGTGGTTCTGATGATTCAGTACAAAAATATATGTTAACTACTTATCCTGGTGCCTGGCTCATCAAGAATCCTGAACAAGTGTTAGCTGTTACTATATCATTATTATTGGAAAAGGCACTGTGCAGGTAAGAGAGATCTGCAGAAGCAAACTGGTATTGCAGAAAGGCTTTGGAACTAAGAGTCAAATCTGTGCTCTGGAATTAATCAGCTATGTGGTCTTGGGCAAGTTACTTAACCTCCCTGAATATCAGTTTTTTTATCTGTCAAATGTGAATAGTACTAGAATCTACTTCATGGAGAAGTCAAGAAAATGAAATGAGATAATGCATATAAATTGCCTAATACAATTCTTGGAACATAACAGATGCTCAATAAGTTAGAGTGGTGACGAGGCAGAGGAAGAGGATGGTAATGTTTATGCCCTGCCAGTGGCCACGTGTCTCTGTGTGAGTATGCATGTGAGAATGTGTATGATATGGAGGTAGTTGTGTCTGTGAACTGGTTGTGTAGAGATTTTGGATTGTCCGTGGGTGAGTATGAGTATGTATCATATGTGGTGTCAGCCACTGGCTTCTGGCTTCCCTTTGTCCGTGTGGTTCAGAACCTGAAGTCAGCAGGGGGTGCCAGATGGAGTTTGGACTACTCCCAACTTTTCTTCTCGATGCTTCTCTGCTGCCTGCCTCAGTCTCCCTTCCTTACAGTGGGGTTGTCAGTATAGAACAAGCTATGAGTTGGACTAAGGCCTGTGGCTCCTCTGCGACCTCTGATTTGTGCCCTTTGCCCTTCTAGAATTCAGTCTTGTCACATCATCCGCCCCCTTGGTTTTGGAAGTCTCAGGAAGAGTTTGGTCTGGAGGAGGAGGACATTGATGTGCTCGGTGTGTGGCCAGTGGTAAAGAGGTATGTGCTGGGAACCCAGGCAAGGCAGGTCAGTCTCAGGGCATCAAGCAGATACGGTGGGTGGAGCTGTAGGTCTGGGGATGTGAGTGAAGGAGGGCCAGAGGTCCCTTTCTTCTTTTCCCCTGTCTTCCTCCTGAGGCCTTCCATGCTCTCCTACCAGGTCTGTAAAGGGGAAGAGACTTACCCAGTTACAATCAGGTTAGAAAACTGGAATTCTGCATGAAGGGACTGAATCCCAGATGTGGGAATATGTTTCTCTCTCATTGTCAGGCTCCCTCTCTGCCCCCAAAGCATCTCTCTGGCTTGACTAGGGAAGCAGCTGGGTTTGGAGGAGACGGGATGGGGGGTCAGAAAGTCCAAAATCTTCTGGGGCCAGCCCTAGGGCTGGGCCTGACTCTTCCTGCCTTTCATTCAGCCCCTGGATTGGCAGCTCAGGGTTGGGGTTGTCCAAGGAATTGAAGCGCTGGAGCGGAACGGAAGGGCCTATTGTCCAAAACCTGCCAGAGGCCCACAAAGGCTAGCCAGGTTTTTCATCTTAGCTCCCAAACAGACTGGCCATTTTCCTGGCCCGGGAGTGGTGAGGACAGACCCTTCAGAACTAGGACTCGGGTGTTGTTCACAGTGGGATGGGGTATCCCAGGTTGACACATGGCCATTAAAGAGACTTAAAATGAAGCTGGGGTTTTGAAGAAGAGGAAGGGAGGCTCCAGAGGGCTGTAGAGAGTTAAGCTTCCATCTTCACTGTTCCCAGAGGACCAAAGGACGTGGAGTGAGGTATCTGATAGAAGTTCAGATTTATTAATAGATGATAAATGTTTACAGGGGACACACCTGGGAGGAGTCTGATGGCTTGTTGGGAAAGTGAGCTACTGAGCTGTGAGGGCACATAATCCTCCCCTTAAATTGGGAACACCTTGGCGAGCTGGAACAGGAGCTGGAGATGAGCAGGGTAGTGGTCAGGCAAGAGAATGGGCTCCCTGCAGCAAGAGGGACTGAAGCCAGACAGCAGAAAGGACTTCCTGCCAATGAACAGTAGCTCAGATACCCTGACCCTGTCCCCAGGGATCCCAGCAGATCGAAAAGAGCAGGGGAGCTGGAGAACACCCTGGGGGGTGGGGTAAGGCTGAGGTAGCTTCTGTGAAGGCTGAGGAGGCTGGAAGGAGGACTTGGCAGTTCTGTCCACCCTCCCCCAGCAGCACCTCCAGCTCCACTTTAAAAACAGCTTTTTAATTTAACAAAGTGGATGAAAAACTGTTTTTGGAAATAAAAGATATCTGCTGTCTCCCAGGCTAGCACTCAACCCTTGCCGAGAGCCTCTCTCTGGGTCTCCCCTACTGCCAGTGGCTCCTTTCTGCTTTCTGTGTCTCTGTCTCTATTTTTTTCAGTTTTGCTCCTGGGCCCCTTGGCTTTCCTTTGGCCTCCCATCACCCCCTCTCCCCCAGTTTCAGCCTCTGTGGGAGTCTAATCCTCAGTCTCTTATCTCCATGTTTCTGCATCTCTTTCTGTCTTTCTCCTAGTCTCTCTTTTGGAGCTTGTCTCTCTCCTGATTTGTCTCTGTCTCCCAGCCTGTCTCAATCTCTGTCTCCCTTCCCCCCTTTCCTTTCTCCCCCAACCCCTGCTCTAAATGGGTCTATTTAAAACACCCGACGCTGCCAAGTCAGAAAAGCGTCTCCTGATAAAGAGCATTAGGCAGAGGGAGGGAGGAGGAGAGAGGAGGGAGCAGCGGGCGGATGGATTGATCCTAGCCGGTAACCCCATTAATCAGGCATCGTGGATCCCCCTCCCTCCCCCAGCTTCAGCCCCTTCAGAGCTAAAAGCCCCTGAAATATTTATCACCCCTCCCCCATGGGGCCAAGGGGAGGGGTGTGTGGCCCTTGGTGTGAGCATCCCCAGCTGCTTGGTAGCCCCCTCTGTGTGTATGTGCACATGTGTGCATGTGCTCATGTCTGCACGCCTGGGTGTGCACACCTGACAGGCCCAGGGGCCAGCTGCTGTCTAGCCCCACCCCCATGAGCAGCTTGGTTCTCTGGGCAGCTCCTGGGGACCCTGCGTGTCTGGCTGGGCTCCTGCCCTGCCTGAAAGGTTGGGCATACAGAATAGGGAGACTTCGGAGTCAGGTGGGGGTCCTCATGCCCCCCCAATTGCAGTAACGGGAGGACTGGGCGACACTGCACTATCATTTTCAGAGGTGAGCTGGGGTTCAATGATCAGATTCCCCCGAATTTCCAGTGTGAAAAGTAACTTGGGAAATAGAATTGGAGATTCCATGCTCCTAAATGCATGAAGGTAACTTGGAACTGCTGGTTGCAGTTCCCCGTTTATAAACCTGAGAGGGCAGGAATACCAGCTGAAGTGGTTTGGGGGTCTCCTGTTACCCTCAGGAATGCAGGGAGGTGACCTGGGCCTGGGAGGGGGTCTCCATCACCCACAGAGAGTAGGAAGGACTGGGTCCCACATCTCAAGGATTACTGATTCCCCCTGGCAGCAGAGGTCAGTCCTGAGACAGGCAGAGGTCTGTCCAAGTTGGCCTGAGGCAACTTTGCCTTGGGCGGGGTCCCGGAGGTCCCGGCTGCCCCTGGGTTTGACGAGCCCCGGCCCGGAGCCTGGAGGGTCCCCTCCTCCTCCCCTCTCGCTGCATCAAGTGCCACATCTCCTCCTGACTCAGACAATTAGATTCAAAGGATGACCTCACTGCCTGCCGTCCCTCACTCGCTCTGCGCTCGCTGGGCTCGCTCGCCTGTTCGCTCGCGGCGCGCTCCTTCCTCCCCTCCTCCCGGCCCGCTTGCCGCCTCGCTCGCTCGCTCGCAGCTCCGCGCGGCCCCTCGCCCGCCCTCCAGGGCTCTCGGGAGGGGGGTCGGCTTCTGCCTCCCGGGCCGGCCTGGGCCGCTCGGGCCCCAGCCCCGAGCCCGGGGGGGCCCGATGCCCACGGGCGGCCGGGCGGACCCACAGAGCGCCAGAGGCACCGACGGGGCGCCTGCGTGGGGACACAGGTCAGTGGCCGCGCGGCCACAGGGCCGCAGAACTTGTCACCTCAGCTGCCGCCGCCTAGACGCCCCCGCCCGCGCTCGCCAGCCAGCCCGCCTCGGCGCTTCCCGCTCCTTTCTCGGCCTCCGCCCCCCGCGCTGCTCCCCGCGCTCCCCCTGCCAAGCTGTCTCTTCTCTTCTCTTCTCTTTCTCCCCCCAGCACCCCCGCCTCTGCAGCCGATGGGAGGGACCAGGACTTCCTGAGGTCTCAGGGACGGGGCCGGGGGCCCACTGGCTGCAGCCGGACCAGGCCTCTGAGAGAGGAGGGGGCTCTGACGGTGTCCATTGGCCTGGGGGAGGGAACCACCACCTGGGTGGGAAGGGGGCTACTGAGAGAGGCCCAGGGTGTGGGGGTGACACCTAGACAGAGGGAATGAGCTCCTGATATCTTTCTTTTCTCACGTCCTATGGGCCTCTTGCCTGGCTTCATTTGTTCCTACCTCTTAGCTAACTTTAGTCCCCACTGCCTGGTTTAATTTAGCCCCCACAACCTATGTTCTTTGGGGCTCTGTCACCTGGTTTCCCTAGACCCTGCTGCCTGGTTTCTTTTGTTTCCACTGCCTGCTTTCCACAGGTCTGTATCACCTGGCTTTATAGGATTGCCCTGCCTGTTTTCCTTAGGTCCTGCTGCCTGGTGTTTGCTCCCTTGCCTGGCTTCTGTGGAGCCCTATCAGGCTCCCTTTAGGATGGGGAATCAGGGTCCAAGCTACCCCTGGAGTGGCAAGTGGTGAGGATGTCAACAGCATTTCCAATTGTTCCCTGGTTGGGGCCTGGCCAGCACAGCCTAGATTCCATTCTGCCTGGACAGCCACATGGTGTCCTTTCTTGTGATGGGAAGGGGGTGGGTGGGGTCCAACAACACTTTAGGATTCTTGTCCTTAGTAGTTACTTAGGGGGAATACCAGCTTGGCCAATGCTATCCCTGTCTCTCTCTGGGCCTGTCAGTGATAACAGTGCTTTGGCTGTGGACTGAGGTTGAGGCCCCATCTCTTTCTCCTTCCTTCCCCCTCCTGTAGCCAGGCCTGACATTGGTGCCCTATAGACAGTTATGGGCATAGAGCTTTTGTTTAAGAAAAATTGTTGACACTATTACAGATATTCCCCTTTCCCCCCTTTGTCCCCCTCCACCAAGCTCCGCCTAGTCCTTCACCACATTATTGTCTGTGTCCATGGACTATGTATATATGCATATATGTTCTTTGGTTAATCTCTTCCAGTCCCCCCCACCCCATTCCCTCCCCTCTGAGATCTATTTGAAGAAGCCTGGGATCACACAACAGATAGCTAGGCTGAGAGCTGCTGCTGATCCTTAACCTAGAGAAGAGGGGGTGGGAAGGGGAGATAGGAGGGGCTTGGGGAGTAAGCTGGTTTCTGCGATTTCTGGTTCCTGCTCCTACCAGTGCCACCATCTCTTCTCCCAGGGGCTTCTTCATCCCTCCTCTCTGGCGTAGAGGTCCCCTCATTCCCAGTGCTGGTGAAAATGGGCTTAGGGAAGGAAATAGCTGCCTAGGCAGCAGTTTTTGACCACTGTGATACATATTTTAAAAACATGCAATACCTGACTATTTAGTCAGGGGCACTGACCTCTTTTCCCTTAGACTGTCAAATTAAAAAATGACAACAGCCAACAGAACAATAGCCATCCAGTATGAATGAATCAAAATTATACCTATTTTTTTTGTCAAATCAGTAAAAACATAATTTTGTGTGTGCTGCAGAATTTTAGTAATTGGTTTATGTGTGCCATGAGATAAAAAAGGTTGAAAATCACTGGCCTAAGGAATAATCATCTATTGCCTCACTTTTTAGGGACCAACAAAATTCTTCCTTCCTGCCATGGGCTACCCTGAGTTTTACCCTCTCACCCCCAAGAACCACCTGGGCAACCTGAGGTCCCAGAATAGAGTCACTATTCTGAGTGTGTTATTTGTGTATTTCCCCCTGCTGGATATAGGGGTGTGAGAGGCTGAGGGTGAG